CAAAAGGTTCCGTCTTCGATTGGAGAGGTGAAGGCTATGGAAGCCGAGATTGGAGTGAGGTCGTCTTCTGGTGATGAGATTGGTGGTTGGGGATGAGCGAAGTGAGCTTGTACAGTGACGGATATCCATGGAAACGCTTAGAGTCCCGACGAATGCGGTGGTCGGAGTTCACTATGGCCGGAGGGGTTTAAACGGCTATCTTCAACGCTGCAAGTCCCTGCAATTTACAGTCACCCTGCCATGGTACTGCGGGAAGAAATCTCAGGCTCCGGGTCAGGTCTTTTAATTTAGTTTTTTTTTTTTTGCAACATTTTTTTAGAGTAAATCTAAATAGTCCTTTTTTATAATTAGAGATTTAGAGTTTTCAAATTTAATCCATATTTATCAAAAACTCTTTTGTCCATTACTTTTTTTCTCATTTTCATTTTTAGATCTTTTAAAAATTTCTTCAGCATTTCCTGATTTGGCAAACTTTTTTAAATGTATGTGTCATTATACCTCCATTTTTATCTATATTATTCACCTTATTCTAGCAAACATTAAAATCTTTACATTTTTAACTTTTTTTAATCTTCGTGCTGAGTTAAATCGGAAAAGAAATTTTTGAACAAAGGGGGTATTATGTTAACAACCATTATCAATTAGATATCATTCCACGTTTAGTATTCGTCTATTTTCTCATCTTCGTGTCATTAGACAATAACTAAAAATACCCAGTATTATTTCACGTTTAGTCCTTGTCTAATGTCATGGAGACGGAAAAATAGACAGAAGACCAAATGTGGATTGGTATCCACTTAATAAGGACTGCTATATTTGATATATATGAACTAAATATGAAAAATTATCGGTTATAAAGGACTATTTAAAAAAAATCTCTTTTTTTAATTAACTATTATTTTGTTAACATCTTTACTTTCATAATTTCATAATTTTGTTTGTCATTTATTAAAAAAATATAGTGTTATTACTTGTTTTAAATAGCATTGTATATAATTTCTAATAATATAATTTTTTAAAAAAGTTTACATCATTATTCGAATAAATTAAATAAAATAAAATTGAAGGAATGCAACATTTTATTCTAAAATGTTTGTATTAAATTGATTTGGAAATTGTATACCATTTTGTAACTTGGTATGTGGTATTTATAAATTTCTAAATAGATAATGAAATGTATTGTATTGAATATTAATAAGATATACAAAGTATATCATATTTGTCTCATAATATTTTTCACTCTGGGGTGATAAATTTTATCATTTTTAAAATTATTTTAATTAAATAGAAACTATACCTTGCAAAATTACACTGCTCCAAAGTATATATGAATTATTAAAAGTTTTACAAAATAAGATATCTGAAATATGAAAAGAATATTTAATTTTATTAAATTATTAATGAAAATATATAAACAAATAAAAGTTATGAAATACAGTAGTACTTCCTTCGTCTTAAAACTTTCTTCCCGTTGCGCAAAACGAAGAAAAATCCCAAGTTTTTTCAATCTATTTTATTTAAATATTGGTATAGAAATAAAAAATGAAACATACATATTTAAAAACTACATCAAAAGTTCAACAAAATAAGTGGTGACAAGAATATTTTACTTTATCATATAGGCCATAAAAAAACACAAATAAATATAAATTTCCGTGAAGTTGGAATAGTGCTTTGGGAAAAAAGTTTTAGGACGGAGGGAGTAGTTTCTAAATATATAGAGGGAGTAAATTTAATTTTTCTTCCTGCAATCCATTATTAGAACTGCTCGTTGTGCGTGAGAAGGTGTCTGAGACTACAATGGCCGTGAAGAAGAGCGTGGGTTCCCTGAAGGAGGCAGATCTGAAGGGGAAGCGAGTCTTCGTCCGGGTGGATCTCAACGTTCCCTTGGACGATAACTTGAAAATCACCGATGACACCAGAGTCCGCGCCGCCGTCCCCACCATCCACTACCTCATCGGACACGGCGCTCGTGTCATTCTCTCTTCTCATCTCGTGAGCCCCACTCTTCTCTCTTCCTTCCTCGTTCCTGTTGGTCGTATTCGTAATGTTCGCCTGATTTGTTTTCGATCTCCGATCGCTGCACAGACAGTGTCCGTTTTGATTTGTTTCCGTTATGTTGTACTCGTTTAGATTTTTCGGATTGAATTTGAGATGTTTCGTTTCATCTGCTCTAGTAATTGGTTGGTTGATCGGTTTTAGGGTCGCCCCAAAGGGGTCACGCCAAAGTACAGCTTGAAACCTCTTGTGCCTAGATTGTCTGAGCTCCTTGGCATTGAGGTTTGTTTTGAGTTCCTCGATCACATTTCTTCGAAATGATATTTTGAAATGTAATAATTAAGAGGGGTTTTGTTGTTGTTGTTGTTGTTGTTGTTGCCTTTCAATAGGTCAAGATGGCAAACGATTGCATTGGTGAGGAAGTGGAGAAATTGGTTGCTCAAATCCCAGATGGTGGTGTTTTGCTTCTGGAGAATGTGAGATTCTACAAAGAGGAAGAGAAGAATGATCCTGAATTTGCAAAGAAGCTTGCCTCTCTTGCAGATTTGTACGTTAATGATGCATTTGGAACTGCCCATAGAGCTCATGCTTCAACGGAGGGAGTTGCCAAATTCTTGAAACCAGCTGTTGCCGGATTCCTTATGCAGAAGGTGGGTGTTTTCACTGGGCTTCTGAGAATTTTTATCAGAGGATACTCTATTTCTTAACAAATACTGTCTTGTATGCATTACTTATTACACTGAAATGATTAAACTTCCATTGTTACCTCAGGAGCTTGACTATCTAGTAGGAGCTGTGACTAGCCCGAAAAAGCCATTTGCTGCCATTGTTGGTGGGTCAAAAGTGTCTACTAAAATTGCTGTGATTGAGTCACTGTTGGAGAAAGTGGACTTGCTATTGCTAGGTGGAGGGATGATCTTTACTTTCTACAAGGCTCAGGGACACAAGGTTGGGTCCTCACTTTTGGAGGAAGACAAGCTTGACCTAGCCACTTCCCTTATTGAGAAGGCCAAGGCTAAGGGAGTCTCGTTGTTGCTTCCCTCTGATGTTGTGGTTGCTGACAAGTTTTCTGCAGATGCTAACAGCAAGGTTTCACTCACTATTCAACCTTAAGTGTATTTCTTTAGGGTCACTCTGGATTAAAATATTGAGAAATTTATATTAAATGGAAGTAGGATAAGAATAACACAATGGGTTCCAACCAAATTATTTGGTTTTCAAATCAAAACCTCTCTATTTCAAAGTAGGGGTAAAGTCTGTGTACACACACCCTCCCCCCGTCCCTATTTTCGTGGGATTATATTGGGTTGTTGTTAATTTGGAGTATTTTAATCCAGAGCTAGATTATATTTCAAGGTAAAACCGAACATAAAATCTCCCCACTCCAAACACAGCATTAGAACTTCATTCAAGTGTTCAGGCTTAAATAAATGGGTCATTTATAAATGTGTATGTCTCGGCTTTTTTCAGGTGGTCAGTGCTACTGAAATTCCTGATGGGTGGATGGGGCTAGATGTTGGACCGGACACAATCAAGTCGTTTGGTGAAGCTTTGGATACCACCCAAACTATCATATGGAATGGGCCTATGGGTGTGTTTGAGTTTGACAAGTTTGCTGCTGGGACTGAGGTTTGTAAAAGCATTACATGTTTATTCACCTTCGAATTCTTTGGTACAGTTTGAATGATTTCGATTATGACCCGGGGGTTGGTTTCCAGGCCATAGCAAAGAAACTGGCAGAGCTTAGCGGGAAGGGGGTGACAACAATCATTGGAGGAGGAGACTCGGTGGCAGCAGTTGAGAAGGTTGGGCTTGCGGAAAAGATGAGCCATATCTCAACTGGAGGCGGCGCTAGCTTGGAGCTACTCGAGGGGAAAATGCTTCCAGGTGTTCTTGCACTTAACGATGCTTGAGAGCACTTTATTTTTTGTTTCTGCCTTTCATTGTTTCTTCTTGAGTTTTCCCCTTTGGGTTTTTTTTATTAGGCCCTAAAATAGAAAGTGGTTTGGTGTTTGAATAAAAATTTTGCAGCCATTTTTTTGGCTTCATATTCTGCTGAGATGGAAAAAAGCATGCTAATTTTAGACATGTGGCTTCTGCATGTTTTATATTTGGTGTTTCTATACCTTACTCCCTCCGTACTAAAATGTTCTTCCCACTCACTTTTTACCCGGTCAAACTTTAATCACTTTCTTTACCTATTTTCATTAGGTATTTGATAAAATAATATAGTCTTGCCACCACTTGTTTTGAAGAACTTTTGATGTAGTTTTTAAATATATAAATTTTATTTTTTAATTTTATACCTACAATCAAATAAATTGAATTGAAAATAAAGTCGGTCAAACCTCGTAAAATGAACCGGGAAGAACATTATAGGACGGAGGGAGTATATGACGAGTACATGTCTATCTCTCTGTACTTCCATCCTCGTTTCGACGATCTTACTGTGTGAAATAAAAATGGATTTGATGCTAAGTTGAAGTTGAAGCCAAGTTGTGGGTAGGTTATGGCACAAATAGAGTTGTTTTCACAGATCTCGACTCCACTCTTGAGGTCTCGTCTTTATAACATTTTTTTCTCAAAAATACACCGGCGATGGAGATTTAAAAAGATGCAATTGTGCAATTAAAAGTGAGTCAAATGAGAAAAATGACATAAGCTACAAAATATTGCCTAAAATTGAAAGTCGAACATTTTTGGACGGGTAAAAAAATATCAAAGAACAATATTACAGGACAAAAAGAGTCACGCTTCTTTGGGCGTCACAGTTCTTTTGGCAGTGAGCACCCATTAGGGCGTTCCACTTGGCCCAGAGGTCTAGATTTTGGTCCACACATGGGTAGTGCCCAACTTCAAACCCAACACAGGACTGTGGGTCGTATTATGACACTGAAATCCAGTGTCAAAAGAACCATGGTGTTCTTTTGATACACAAGTCTTACCCCTTACCCAAGACAACACATCTCTCCATAGCAAAAATCATTGAATTAGCTTAGTTTAGATGTTTGAAACTATTATTGTTCGAAAGATTGTTGAAAAATTGTAAACTTTTTCATAGAATTTAACACTAAAAAGAAAGCAAAAAAAACAGGTATACTCTCATAAATGAACTGTTCAAACATGCAAGCAAATATACGTATAAATATCCCCGAATCCACATAGCAAGTAAACACAATCAGATTTTATGTTGTAGAACCTAATTTCAGAGGATCACGAGCTTTTCTTTTTCTAAGCTTCACCAGATGTCGAAACCACTGGGGTTTCCATATTTGCTCCCCATTCTGTCCATGAACCATCATAAACCGCCACATCACCATTTCCCAGTCGATGCAGTCCCTGAAACAAAGATTTAAAACACATCTTGATCCGCGTGCCAAAGATAAACATGCCTCCATAATGTATGTGTGTGTGTGTGTATATATATATATATAGTGCGAGAGAGAGAGAGAGAGAGAGAGAGAGAGAGACCAAGGCAAGAACACAAGCTGTCACACCAGTGCCACATGAGGTCACTATAGGACTCTCCACAGAGATTTCTGTGATAAAAGCATGATGTTAATTGCATAGAAGTGGATAAGCTAAACGAGAAAAGAAAATAGACATGTGAAAATTCTTTAGCACATGTTAGCCTTTCGGATTATCCTTGCTTCAAGGTGAAAATGCTTCTTTCAAAAATTCACTATTACGTGAAACGGAAAAAGCAAAGTCAAAGGTAAAAAAGGCCTAAGACAGTAAAAGTCCAAACCACTTTCCAATAAAAATACAAAGTACTGAACAAAAACATAACACTAGCACAAGTATTGGTACTCGTGATGCTAATTCTTACCTTCTTGGTCAAATTTTTTCTTGAGATCCTCTACAGATAAAAGTGTCTGCGAGTCATTAAGCATCTGCCAAAGAAAGCAAACAAAAACAATATGTGTGCTTGAATACTCCATGGCACAACACTGCTAGTAATTTATCGGCTAAATCTTACTCCGTCTAAAAGATCATCAGCTCTTCACCAAAAGTAATTTTACCTCAGCAAAGGGAATGCATTTGCTGCCTGGAACATGTCCACTACGTATTCCTTTTCGTGGCTCTGGTGCAACCCCATCAAACCTGCACAAGACTTGCCTCTTGTGAATTTCATTTTCTAAAATCGCATTAAAAAACCAGTTCTGGATGCATATTTTGTTCTGAATTCTGATGAGGTTTTATATATATAATGGCTATTACCTTTAATTATTTAATCGATACAAGCAAAACCCATAATCATCATGGTTTAAACCCTTTTTATTGTTGTCCTTGTGTAAGAGTAGCATGAGAGAAAGAAGTAAACTGACAAGGTGTAATCTGAAAAAAAGAATAAACAGCTAGTACGACCATCCTAATATAAGGTTCTCCTAAGAATTTGACAGCACTTTATGCATGTTTTGAAGCCAGACATTTTGTGTGAAGTAATGTGGCACATTTTATTAGCCATGATTATTTTATTTACCCAAAAGGAATGGGACAGTCAGAAAAGACAAGTGAGAACCTTATTATGGAGGCTAAATTGCAATTTTGGACATGTAGCCCTGGCAAAATACTATTTGTACTATTTTCTCAATTTTGACTAGTTGTCTTATGTTTAGAATTTTCCCATTTTAGGTTGAATATCTCACGTGACATCCTTGCGAGCATGCTTTAAGCAAGTTAATTGCTGAGGTGATTATTTGCTTGCCACCTAATTGCTTTTGTTTGTGATAATGACAACCCCATTCATTATATGTTTATTAGGTGGCCATATTTAATTTAGCTTAACAACTAAATTGTTTGAGGTATGCTTATAAAGGTACAACAACAACAACAACAACAACAACCCCAATAAAATCCCACAAAAGTAGGTATGAGGATGGTACGCTTATAAGAGTGACACTAGATTTTCATGTAAAAACAAGCAAGGTCTGGTAGTAGCAAAGTTAAATTGCCAAAAATGAAAAACAAGACCAATTTTGCCAAATGGGTCGTTGAAATACCTAGCTTTTGAACGAGCATCTATATGCTGATGTGACTTTTCATCAATATTGTTCCTCACCTGAAAATGTAAAATCTGGTCTTAAATATGAGATGTAAACAGAGTAGCAGCTACACATTTCAACAGTCAACCAGATAGATAAGCATTAGAGAGCATATAATAACAACATATATAAATTACACACCATGTTTTACACCCACAAGTTTCCCACCAAATGGATCTTAAAGATGACCACTCTACTAATAAAAGGAAAGTAAACTATACATCCATGTTTTTGGCACATATGCCGAAGTCTCGAACTCTTAGACATTGCAGAACTGCCTCTCCAATATATAAGTATAAGCGTACAACAAATAAAACAGACCTGTTCAAGTGTCCAAACAAGATGTGTCTGAAACTTGGTTCGAAATGTGATAGGTCCAGCCTACAAATATAGAAGATCATTACTCTCTGTCATATACAACAACAACAACAACAAAGACTTATCCTAGTAGGTGGGATCGGCTACATTGATCAAACGACCCCATTGCACCACTACTCTATATCATATACTCTAATTAATGCCGAGTATGAATTATGTAGTACATGAATATTTTAAAGTGTAAACTGAAACATTAGAAACAGAATGCTAAATCACTAAGACTAAATATTAATTTTTGAAAACCCCACGGGTTATAAAAGTATGGGGGGAAATGAGGGTGTTCTTCGCATGTCTATAGTCCACTTACTGCTTGCCCTTTATACACTTTCTCTATAGCATCACTGGCAGCACTAGCTTTCAGAATTGCATCACCAGATGCACTTGATTCAACGTCATATTCAGAAGCACGCCATCTTGGCAAGCCTCCATCTAAAACCCAAACTCGATCATGACCAAAAACACGAAACATCCTGTAAAATGTTCTTAAATTACACAACAAAGAAGTGTTGGCAAACTTACACATGTGACCGAAGAACAAAACCAAACTCACCACCAAACACGAGCAGCACTGAAAATCCCTTTCCCATCATATACGACAACCCCATCTTTATTCTCAATACCAAGAGCAGACGCAGCAGCAGCAAATGCTTCTTCTGATGGCAACATATGCGGCAGCTGATAAAAATCATTGACAAAGAGAGCTTTACGTGTCGCAATGGGACAATAGAGCCAATCAATCTAACAAAGCATATTATATTGAGACATGGGAGAGTCTGCGGATTCAAGTCTTACATTAGTAGTTCGATCAGCTATGCCGTCTAAGTCAAAGAATAGTGCACCGGGAATGTGTGCAACCTGTAACAATAAAATTAACAAATCATGAGAAACTAGAAACAATTTTCTGTTATAATTCTGCAAAGCATTAGAGCTAAATAGAATAATACATATTGCAGATTGTCAAACACACACAAACAGAAGTAATTATGTATGGAAGTAGATAGTATAAAAATGCAACCCATGCCTTTCACAATTATATGGATGCAGTGTAAATAATATTCACCAACAAAGCTTCATCAAGAAACCATTACCTGATACTCTTGAAGTGGATTTCTCTGATCACCTGGCATATACCATGAAGCATCCAAAACCTGAAATAACAATGAATATCAACTATTACAATGGCCAACACAGAGTAGAAAAATTCAGAGCACAGTCAACTGAGTCAAGAATAGATATTAACTAGAAAGCCATCAATAAATAGTACTTGTGGCATTGATATGTTTCAAGTGTATCCACAAGAAAAAGAAGCCACGAACACACCTTTAGATCAGGCTCTCGAAGGTTGGCATGCAGCCATTCAACAGACACAACAGGTTCATTTGTGCTCAAGGATGCTGGTGAGAATGAAGGTTGAGCCCTAGACAGTGATGAAGCCATCCGAAAAACAGAAAAACCAGTAACCCGATGTGATAGACGGAAGAAAGATGCTTGCGAGTTCCACTGTCTCTTCTGCCAGCAACAACAAAACAATGCGCCCTGCTCATAAGCTCATGTCTCTAAAACCCACAAACCAAACTAAGGAGCAGGGCTTCTTCTTCTTTCTCCATTCACTTTATGCTCATATTTATAAACAGAACGAAAAAGAGAGCATATTTTGTGATTCTCTTATTGGTTCATGCAGCCAACCCCAAGTTACTTGGGGGGTTAAGGCTTGTTGTTGCCACTTTTTTGCTCATGCAGAAAACAAATTCCATATCCCCAATCAAAAAAACACGAAGAGATTAAAAAAAATCAAACTTTAACACAAAAATGTAAAGCCCTAAAGACATGCTCCCAAACCCAAAACATGGAATGCCAGAGCTTCATAAAACAAAACGTTGATGCGCCGTAGGCAATACCAATCGACGAAGTAGATCAACGGAAGCAATAAAGCTAAATGAATTCTAAGACGCGTGAAAACAATTGGAGAACGAACTTACGGAAAAGGCAAATTTGAGGGATTGGACCTTGTGGAAAATAGAAGATGGAGAAGAAAGTTGAAAAACAGAGCGGCTGGCGAAGACGGTTCTAGCAACGAAAGAGGCGGATGCCATTGAAGAATGGATCAGAAGTCGGCAGAATCTGGATACGCTGGCAAAAGGAAGAGTGTTTTTTGTGGTGGGTTTATGAAAGAAAAACAAGAATCCATGCGACAGAGATGATCGATCGATCGATCAGTGATCAACTGCTGCCGCCGGCATCAGCTGCTGCTATGGCGGAATCCTCTCGGCCCTGAAACTAGGTCACTCCGTCACTCTCTTCCAAATTCCAATTGCCGGCCGGCGGTGCAAATATTCAATAGGAATAACTCGGTCAAAATTAACCATAGTTACTATTTTACCCCGTGACGTTTTTGCTTCCTCCTGAAATTCGAAAGAAAACTAAGAAAAGAAGCTTAATTAACTTAAATATTTGTCACATTTGTATTTTTAAGATAAAATATTAAATTTTTTCAATTCATCTTATTTATATATTGGTATAGAAATAAAAAATAAAATTTACATATCAAAAAACTACATGAAAAGTTTTTCGAAATAAGAGGTGTTAAGAATATTTTAATTTATCAAATAACCAATGAAAACGTAGAAATATACAAAAATTCTCGTGACTACTGAAAAAGAAAATGTTGCAAATATTTTGGGACGAATAAAGTATTTTTTTAATCTTATTGCAATTTCTTTCCTTTTTTTCTTTTTTTCTTCCAAATTAACAAAAGAATCCCTCTCATTTTCTTTCACCTTTTGAACTCCTTGAACGAAATACAATGTTAGTTAAATTATACTCAATAAATATTTAAAAAATTATCTAAAATAAATTTATTTTTTCACATTTTTTTCAAAAATAGTCTCATTTTTTACTACCGTAAGCAATAATCTTATTTTTCTGAAGGTGTCACTTTTGGATCAATGTTAAGGGAATAATAGAAACCTAACGAACTTTTTAAAAAAATATCTATTTCGTGCAAACAAATGAAAGGTATGCTCCCACTCTAATAGCATTGGAAATGGGTGTAACATCGGGGACGTCAACCGGCTTTTGACGCCGGTTGGGCATTAAACACCGCCCCCATGGCGCGGCATTACACGGGCGTTATGGCCCTTGCATCAAACTTTTGACGATGCCTTTTGGCCGTTGCTTCTTCCCGTTAGCGCAGCCCCCCCCCCCCTAACTACTAAAATATCTGTTAAACAAAAAAAATCTTCCTTTAAATTCAAACCATCTCTATCTATCTCTCTCTAATTCATTCAAATACTATTCTATTTATTTTAATTATATGTATAAAATCTATAAACTATTTTAAAAATGAGATCATCTTCATCTGATGATGAAAAGAAAGCTCTCATTTTTCGATATTTCGAAACAGCTTGTTATCAATGGTGTCAACAAGGCGAACAAGCTAAGAAGAAGCAGAATTCCCCCGACGCCCGACCCAACGTTAACGTTCAAACAGGAATCAGGCGGTTGCGCACGCTTCACTTCTCGACGACTACTTCAATACTTTATGTATTTATACACCCGAAAATTTTAGTAATCGTTTAATTTTTGGATAAGTGGTCGTCTATTTTTACTAATTGTATTAATTATTACTCTTATGCCAGTTTTAAATAAATTAATTCTAGAGAAAGCCTGATTTTTTTTTTGTGAATGAGAAATTGTAGTTTAATTTTAAAATACTACGGAGTAATTACTAAATTTAAAATAGTAAAAATGAATAGAGAAAAGTCTAAACTTGACTAAGGTTAGTAGTACTTAATACGAGTACTCCGTATTATTGGAGAGAGAGAGAGAAACAATAAATAAAACTTGGAAAAAACAATAAATGCGATAGGAAAGCTCCCCGCCCTATAATCAATGCCCCAGTCTTTTTATTTTTATTTTTATTTATTCAAAACAATTAATTAAGGTCTTGTTTCGTGCGTAGCTCACCATTTGGCTCCCTCATTCATGCTTTTGTACCGTCCCTACATTTATTTCTTTAATTAATTAATACCACTACACATAATACATACCGCCTACCTACGTACCATTAAATCAATTTAATTAAATTCATGACTGATTATGAATAATATCTTTGTGCAATTACATAAATGAATGTCATCATAGGCATCATCGCAAATTTTAAAATTTAAATTTTGATGGAATTATTTTTTGCTGCCTTTATAAGATCCACACGTAAAAATAAATTTTTTCACATATTTTTTTGGGAATAACGTTAACGATTATCGTTAGCATTTTGAAAAGGCTATTTAGGGCGTGTTTGGGAATAACGTTAGAGATTAGCGTTAGCGTTTTGGATAAAAATTTAACGGTGTAGATTAATTTGAAAACGCTAACGCTAATCTCTAAAGCTATTCCCAAACAGGCCCTTAGAGGCAACGTTTAGCATTAGCGTTTTTAAAGTAATCTGTACCGTTAAAATTGTATTCAAAACGTTAATGCTAATCTCTAACGCTATTCTCAAACAGGCCCGAAGATAAAGTTGATTACTTACGAAGTAAATTAAATTATTGAATGTACAAGTATTGAGTATATTTAATGAATTGAAAATTAAAGTAGTAAAAATAGAAAAATCATAAATTCATTCAAAGAAAAAAAAAAGAAAAATCATAAATAAAGAAGAGGAAGGTGGAGGGAAAATTAAATACGGAGTAATAAGAAAGGAAAGGTTAGAAGCCATTAATGAGCCATCTAATCTAATGTAAGGAAGTTGAAAGGTCTATCAATGTGAGTTTTTTAATATCCCACTGAATTGCGTATTTAATCATTTTATATTTCTGTTTTTACACATTCTTATTGTATTTTTGATAAAATAATAGTTTAAGTCATCACTTAAATTATTAATCAAGTTTTAAGTTTGTAATTTTTGTTTCATAGTTCTATCATAATTTCAAAATATATGTCGCACAGAGTATTATTTTAAAAATGATTTCATTTTAAGTAGGAGACGAATAAGAAAATAGCATTCCTTCCGTGTCGATTTATGTTGCGTCTTTAGGTATTGTTAATAGATTCTCATATTTATCAATTTTATTTATCTCTTTATGTTATTTATTTGATAAAATAATAGGGATTAATTATCATATTTTCTGTGTTGTAATAGGTACGAGTAGTAACTAATAACTCACAGCTGTCCACTATTCCATTTAATGCCGCTATTACTCTCCCGGCCCGGCAAATAGAAAGGAAAATCTTGTACTCCTCTTAAATCTTAATGCCATTTAATTCTCCATTATTATTTCGATTCTCTTCTTTATTTCTTCTTTAAAGATTACTATCACTATTATTTATTGTCATTGTTATTATTTTTTATTATTATTAATGTTATTATTATTATAGACATTATTATTATTATTATTGATCGTATGAAAAACAGTAATCCGAATCAAAAGTAATTCTATTCTTTATTTCTTCTTTAAAGATTTTTATCACTATTATTATTATTATTATTTTGATAATTATTTTTTCTATTTTTATTGTTGTCGTTATTATTATTATAGACATTATTGATCAATGTTGTCTGGACCAAAGGAAATCATCATGAATAAGATTGATCTAAATTAAAAGTAACATGTGAGATATAAAATTACGTTTTGTGTTGCACTTTAAATAATAAGTATGATCTTGAACAAGCTGTTTTTATAGTACAACTTGTGACTGCTTAGTTAAAATTTGTAATTGATTAGTTGAACCAATTCAATCACGGAATGCGATCAATTAAATGTTTATTATGTGATGAATGTAACAAGTCTCGTACTCGCTATAGCCTCAAATTTAATCATTTCTTGTATGATCTTCTACATTCTCACAACTTAACCTCTAATCTTTTGTCTACTTAATTGTATCTAATATTTGACTAATCACTCGGTCTCTTTCGCGTAAGCCTTTCAAAAGGTCGATTGAACAAACGTATTGAGTACAACATGTTGAATCCTAATATATTCATCAATTCTTATTAAAGTATGACTAAAGTCATCACAAGAATAAATAAAACTATTTCCACCTAAATTTGTTAAATCATCTATCTTGATGACAACTATCAAATTAAATATTCAAATTTAAAAGAGTGAATTTAACAAATTTTGTACTACATACGAAAATAAAGCCTATATATTTAGCAATTACCAAACAAAGCCAATGTAATTAGTAATATCCACCTTATTATTTTCGTGTTAGTGTGATTGAAAGTAATTTATCCCACTAAAATTTTATCACAAATTCACAAGTGCTAATGCTATTAGAAAATGATATTCATATACAAAGCCAATATAATTAGTGGGTCGGTTTAACGTTTTCAAAGTACTTGGTCCGTCCCCGAGTGTTTGTCCACTTTTGACTTTTGAAATTGTTCATCTAAACACTTTGACTCATCAAATTCTCTCAATATCTAAGCCTAAAAATAGTCATGTGTGATCTTGTTTGATTCGTCTTAACATATATATTATTAATATATAATTTTTATAATTTTTTAATATACAAATTACAAGATAAAATGGATTAAAGAAGTGAATTGGATGGTGTGCAAAAATGAAAGTGGACAAACAATCAAGGACGGAGGGAGTAATTTATATCGTTAAAATTTTATCTAGAATGCATAATTTTTAAACAGGCCCAATAATTACTCTTTTATTATTTTTATTACTCCCTATTTTCTTTAGTAGTACATTTTTAAATTCTTACTAGTAGTTTTAATTACGGGGCTTTTATTACGGAGTATTAATATGGTTGGTGGTTTATATATATAACGGGCCACATCGCCTGACTTCGTCTTCTCCATTCCCCTTCAACTCCTCCTCATCTCTCCTCAATCATAATTAAAGCGATAAATATATTCTGCAATCAATCAATGGCAGCCGATGTGAGCTCTCTGGTCAGGATGATGAGCGGCCGAGATTTGAACGACTCTCCCGGCGCCGCTAAGTCCGCGGCGGCTCCGATCACCAGGGACCTTCTCGGCGGTTGTTGCTCCCTCGACTCCAAAGAGTTGGACCTCGACTTGCAGGTTCCTTCTGGCTGGGAAAAACGCCTCGACTTGAAGGTATGTATATGCCTCTCGATTCGCCGTCTCCGGATGAATTATCCCGACTTTAATTTTATCTCCGACTATCCGGTGATTTGATGTTTGATTTCCGTTTGTTTTTGTGCGTATCAGTCGGGGAAGGTGTATCTTCAGCGGTGCAATTCGTCGAACACCTGGCCGGCGAGGTCGGAGAGCAAGCAACGGAGCGGTAACCAGACGGCGGCCGTGAACCTGCAAGACCTCAACTTCCCGCCGGCGTCAAAGCCCCAGCCGAATCCGTTCGACGAGACGAGCCTAGACCTCAAATTGGTGACGTCATCTCCGCCGCCGCCGGCGGCGAATCTGTACAGCGTCTGCACTCTGGAGAAGGTGAAATCGGCGCTGGAGAGGGCGGAGAAGGAGGAATTCAGCAGGAAACGGTCAATCTCCCTGTCGAACTCGTCGTCTTCCCCAACTCGATCATCGTCGAACCGAGATCACGAAATCGATCAGGAAATTCACAACAACAATTACAGCAGTTCGTCCGATTCATCATCATACGCAGCTGGATGCCCAACGTGTTTGCTCTATGTTCTGATATCAAGGAGCAGTCCGAGATGCCCCAGATGCAACACCATTGTTCCATCTCCAGTTCTGGATCATAAGAAGCCTCGCATAGATCTTAACATATCAATATAAATTTTTCTTATATTTCAAAAAAAGGGCATGGGGTCAATTAAATTTCCTAGTCATTTTTTTGACCTTCCCTTTTTTAACCCTCTTCTGTAAAGATAGATGAAGACATATATAGTGTCCTACTGTAAGTGAATAGAACAGTAAATAGCAGACTTTGGGCTGCTTTGTTTGGAAGGGCAGATGAAATTGTAGGCTCCTTCTTTCCATATTTATTAAAGTATTATCTTAGGAGTTTAAGCTCTTAAATTTGGGTATTACTCCTTCCTTCCAATTTTCAAAATTTATGTGCACAGACCTTTATTGTTTATATATGTTGTGTAAAGTTTGGTGTCAAAATGATATCACCATTTTAGTGTTCTCGAGCACAATAGTCAAATTTTACTTGTGGGGGAGCTTACTGGTTGGGGAGGCATATAGCGCTTATATGTCAATTCTACTCCGGAGTCAACTAGTCGGGGTGGGGGATTTACCTAAAAAGTAGATGAGGTAAGAAACATTAAATTTTCGAGTGGACTTCCGTAGAGGCTCAATCGAAGCCCAAGTCATCTTATGATATTGAAAACAAAAATATGGGAACCTCATCGCTGTTAATATTGGTGTGTAGAAATAGTTAAATAATACTAATAAAACATGTGTTGGGATCCTCCAAGTCCCACACCGGAGGTAGAAGAAAAAATGGACTAAAATATATAGGTTCACTCAACCCATTAGTATGAGGTCTTTTGGGAGGTGCCCAAAAATAAATCCGTGAGGGCTTGGCCCAGAGTGGACAATACCATACTAATGCGGGGTTGGGGTGAGGGCACGCGCAGTCCCAACAACATGTTCTATATATCTAAATACTACTGAAACGGAGACAGTTTCCATGACATTGTCCCATTTTCAGTGAAAGTATGAGGTAAGTTAAAACAGATATGACAAAGAAAGAAATTTTGAAGCCCTGTGACTTTGATATTTTTTTCATTGCTCTTACACCTCTCTAATCTTATTTACTCATCAGTTATGTACTTCACACACTTTTTTTGAAAAGAGTTTTAAATAAATTTTGACACCAAAGTCAAAATCAACTTAGGAGGTGCAATTGAAAGGAGTGGGGGATGTGTTCAGGTCAGGGCGGGGTGAGGGGTTTACCGAAGGGTAGGAACCGTCAACGGAGCCCTCCGGGTCATCATCCCATGACATTTTCTATCTCTCCACACCATTCTTTGTGTGATCAACTTGTAATTCGATCTTCAAGAAGAAGCTAGAATTGATCGATGGAGATGTTTATGGGATCTGGTGCCCTGCTAGAGCTAAAATATTTGTACTCTTTGGAGTGTGCGTGCTACGAGAGAGAAGAGTACGTATGGTAGCAGCAGCAGTATAGTAGTAGTAGCATAGTACATAAATATTTGTATGTATGTGGGCATGCATTTATGAAGCCAAAGTCATTCCACAACTAACAAAATTGAATAGAAACCACACGCCATGAATAATTTGTTTATGCATCATCTCACGGAACTTTCAATGCCTACTTACACCTACTGCTCCCTCCCTCCTAAATATATATGTTCATGAGTACTTCCTAGTATGTGTTTTTTTTGGAGGTGTTCAAGAATAAATTTGTGAAACCTGTTTTTGTTCCGAATCCCGACAGATATTTATAAGATTATAATATGCTTCAGGCCAAGCCCGGCCCGTTACTATACCTCCGAGTGCCACCGCTCCATGCTTCTAACCGATGACGATACAGTCAATGCTCGACGTGCCACTTACGGTGTGCCTGACTAGCACCGTAACAAATCTCGTCAAGACATGTCATAACACATGCGGCCCTAGCTAGTCGATATGATGATAGAATTTCGTAGACTCCCTATTTGGCTATATGATGATAGAATTGAGACCGGTTCAAATGACATTGAGAACCAGAGACATGGGATGACTCAGGGGTACTCCGGTGCCCCGTTCGTAAACCCCCGGGTCAACCCATGACATTGGTTCTCAGTGTCATTTGAACCAAGGTGATGTAGATTTTTGAGAACGTAAAGTGTTGATTTTTCCATTGACATCGTAGATTATATACACACATGAATTACTCCTCCATTCTAAAAGAAATTACACTCTTTACTATTTAAAAGTCGCAAAAACTTTTATTTATTTGTGCATTTTGATTGATTATTTCATAAAATAAAATATTCTTGTCACTTTTTGTTTCGTAGAACTTTTGATATAGTTTTTAAATATGTAAGTTTACTTTTTCTTGTTATTACAAATAATAGAAATAACAGAAAATAGAAGATTGTTATTGTTTACTTTCCTATTCTATTGTTATCATAAATATTTACTACTCTAATTAGAATTTTCAATGTATATTAATGTAAGCTCATTATTCAATAAAACCAATTATTATCAAATTGTATTATGGTATCAGATAAATGACTTCTCTCGAGAGAAAAATGTGCATTCCTAACGGCCGCCACCAATTGCGAAGAGCGTGTCTAACCGTTAATGTTCTTTATCTCTCCTCCTCTCAGAAAAATCCCTTATCAATTTATTTTTCTCCAAAAAAATTATGAGCGTGTCTAATAGTCAATTAGGGATTCTGGTGCATAATCAAGGAACTCGAAAATGCATTTGTGTGTCTTTCTACTAGGGTTTGAGAGCATGAAAAGCGGTAGAGAAGCAGTTTATGGCCACTAGGAGAAAAGAGGAACTCCGACCCTCGTCCTCGCTCCAATCACCAACACTCCCCCTTTTAAAAACTCATCAAACCTACTCTCAAGTTTGCTCGTCATGCAACAAAGATCTGTCTCTACCTCTAACCACTATATTCACAAAACTGTTTCCACGCGCTCCATTCCAGTACATGTGCTGCAAGATGATCTTCGTAACTGATGAACAACTTGCGGTGAGATATTAGAAATGATAGGTATCATTATCATTATCTGTTTTCATATGTGTTTTTGTTATCATAATTACTTATTCTAATTTAATTAGAGTCTCTATGTATTATCTATATATGTTGTAAATTTCATTATTCAATATGACTAATTATTATTAAACTTGATCAAACTTTTATACCAATATTTAAATAAAGTTACTTGAAAAAACTTGAATATTACGTAAAATGTATAACATACGTACCCAATACATTTTATATGTATGTATGTGTGTAGATATATATATATATACATACATACATATATAGGAAGTAAATGCTCCTTCAATTCATTCAAACGTGTACACCATAAACAAATACTAGTGGTATTTATTATGAGGAAAACAACTTTTATCGGCGAAAATTAAAGACTTTCTGTCTTCCTTTAGAGGCCTGGCTTGGTGCTACTAATAATAAATGTACTTGAAAATGGCATTTAAATTAATTGTGACCCTGACCTTGTACCCGTTCATACTGCTTCTACATTTTTTTTATTCATTCATTTGGTACGTACCGCTCCATTGATTATTCGTTCTTTAAGTTGGGCAAAAAAATAATAATCACGTTTTTTCTGTTTGTCTATTGGAGATTATTATTATATTATTATTATTATTTAGATAATTTTATTGGATCCCAGTCCTCGACTTTGGGTACGTACGTTAGTTATAAATAAAAAAAAGAGCATTGGATATGATCACAAACATGAATCTTTAATTTTTGTCATTCCAATTTATCAAGTTTAATTTATAAGTTATGATGATCAAATTTTATGATAAATAAAAAGTAAATTTTATAAATGATTCTTAATTATACTCCATCCGTCCCTAAATAAAGTTTCATTTTTGACTTTTTGAGAATTTAAGGGAGAGATATTTTTGTGTTGACTTTCTAAAAATACTCTTGATGTGATGTCTAAAAGTAAGATGTGATAGGTAGATTATTAGTAAAAAAGTATGATGTGATAGGTAGTGTATGAAAAAGTAAGGGGTAAAAGTGGTGTTTTAAGGGAAAAGAAAAGTTTATTTGGAGACAAAGAAAAAACGAAAGAAGAAGTTTATTTAGGAACGGAGGGAGTATGTGGTTTTTCATATTTAGTTCTCAATTCTTAGATATTCAACAAATAGTCTTCAGTTTTTGAAAGTTATTCCATAACTAGTCTTTTAGAGACAATTTGTGAAAATTATTTTCTCATGTTTGGCATAAAGGACTATTTATGAAATAGTCTCTCCGTTTGAAATTAAGGTTCATCGTCTGACTTGACATAAATTTTAAAAATAGTGAAAATATGTGGTTGAAAATGATGCAGAAGAAAGAAAATTTATGTGTCGCTCAAGCTTAAAAGGAAAGATGAGGTTTTTTTTCAGGACATCCCAAAAAAGAAATAAGGGTTCTTTTTTTGAATAAAAATATGTTAATAAACGTCTCTTTGGCTACAACTTATCATTCCATGCAAGCTTGACTCTGTTAAGAGTATCCCACATCGGAAGTCCAAGAGTAAAATAATCCGGTATATAAGCTCTTGAGTTAAACTAACTAATCGATTGGATTCAATCTTTTAATGTGGTTCAGCCTAAGTGTCTTATTGCCCAATCGAGTTGCCTATACCCATTCCAAATTTTTTCATGGTATCGGAGCAGGTTTTGGCCCACCTCGTTTGTCAAGGTGTCCGTCTAGACGTTCATTCTTAGTGGCCCGTTAGTCTTTAGCCCAGTTGTCCGTATGGAGTATGTATCCAACGGCCTGTGGCCCGTTTAACACGATTGCTCGTCTGGAAGTCCATACCCAGCAGCTCGTGGTCCTTTAGGGGTTGGCGCTCAAAAAAAATTAAGGGAATGAGAGTTCATTTGCAAGTGGTCAACCTAAATGTTTTATTGTCCAATCGAGTTGTTCATACCAATCCCAAATTTTATCAGACTCTTTGGAGTTTGATAATTGTAACATGACATTTTGATAATTATTGCAATTGAAATTTATATATAATCACTACTAAGCTAGTAGTTTGGAAGTCTACGCTAAAATCTGATTAATTAGAGTATAAAATTTTTTTTTTAAAAAAAGATTTTTGGTCATGAATAAATTAAAAAAAAGAGAAGGTACACTACACACCTTAAGTAATGTCAAAAATATGATATCTTCGATCTCTCCTGATTCCAATTAATAATTAAGGGTCATTTAGTATATGAATTTAATATATATGACCTAACATGCAATAAATAATTCCTCAATAACTCCCATCATCTGTTATTAGGCCACCCTCTTTAAGTTGCCATACCTACCTTCTTCATTGAGCTTCATGATGATCATAATAATAATAATAATAATGGTAGTTTTAATAACAATAAATACTTACTCCTATTAAATATTAATTACCACAAACTTCTCCTAGAATCTACCCATGCACCCACGCTCTTTTTAAATTCCAATGAGGTTTCACCTTTTAAATAAACTCCATTATCCCCATCTAAAAACTGTTTCTCACTTTTCATTCTTGTACCAAGGGAGTAAGACCCGATCGAGTTCGATTCCTGACAACTGTGCTGGGAGGAACTATGCTAAGCATAAAGTCTCTGCAAGTACCAGGTGTAGTTTCATATTTTTTTAAAACAGTCAATACATGATCGAATGAAGGATAATTTTTTAGAGATGAAGGGAGTATTAAATTAAATAATGTAAAATTTCTTAATCATAATGAGGTATGAGTGTATAACGTGTTAAATTTCTTAAGGTTAAATTTCTTAATCACAAACTTTCCTTTCACTTTGACCTAAATAATGATCTTATGAAAGGATGTTGGAGCATAAGTCAGACCAAATGGCATTGCTGAAATTTCATCATGCCCTGGCCTTCATGAGTAGTTTTATAGGCTATCATCTTACAGACAGCTTATTAATTAAATTCTTATTATTAATTAGTTAATGATACCCAGGCCAACTCTCATTTCTATCTTAGCTTATAAAATATATATGACAACTATTCCGGCCACCCAATTCATCTGGCAAGTGCAGTGAGCCCTTTTTCTTTAAATTGCATAATAATATTGAAAGGGCAGGTATAAAACAAATTTTATTATATAAAATGAGTGATGAAATTAAACAAAAAAAAAAGTGATTGAAGTATTATGACCCCCAAATAGTGAAAGGAGAAAATCTCTGTTTGAGTGAAAGAATATAATTTGATTTGTTAATGAATCGCCAATTAATAAATAAATAAAATTAAAACTATTTTCCATCAATGAGTGTGTAAGATAAATGTAAAATCTTGAGTCAGGGTCCCCGGCCCAGAAGAAAATATATCGATTCAAATGACATAATATAGAAACAAAGCAGGCCTAATAGCTCACTCGACCCACTAAAAGTGGGTTGGTCCAACAAACTACTGGACCCAAAATAAAGTGTAAACAAGACCAAGTAGCCCGTTTTATTCAATAAGAAATGTGTTAGACGAACGGACTATTATACTCCCTCCGTCCCACTTTAGATTACAATATTCCCTTTTTGTTGAAATTAAGGAAGAGTCAAATCAAAAAAAAATTCCCCAAATTACCCCCAAGTGGTCCACTCACATGGATGAATAGTATGTGAATAGTGTAGGAGTGGGAGGGTAAAAGAGTTAATTCCTTGTAAAATTATTGACTTTGTAATTCTTTTTGGGACAAAAATGTGAGAGAATATTGTAATCTATTTCGGGACGGAGGGAGTATATAGAATAAAGAATACTCTCTTTCCCTTCGCCTAAAAAAATGCAACACTTCACTATTTGAATTTTGTGTGTGTTTTTTATTGCTTATTTAATAAAATTAAATTATCTTGTCACTTATCATTTTGTGTAATTTTTGAATATGTAAGTTTGTTTTTTATTCTATTTTTTTTTACCAATTTTTAAATAACATGAATTAAAAAAATTTAAATTTTTTATTCATTTTGCATAATGTGCATTCTGTTTTAGACAGATGGAGTATAATATGCGTAGTAATCGGTCGTATCCATTAAGAAATGGGTTAGACCCAAAGACTACATAACAAAAAGATTGACAATTTAATCAGTATTTCAATAGAAAGACTCTATAACTCTATAAGTCTATCGGCTAAGTCTATAACTACTACTCACTCCGTCCCAATTTATTTGCAACACTTCGAACGGCGTGCAAAATATCATCTCTTTTAAAATCACTTTAATTTTAAATTGGTAGATTAATAAAAAGTAAAAATTACATCATTCAAAAGTATATGAAAAATTCTACAAAACAAGATGTGACAAGAATATTTTAGTTTATCAAATGGTCAACCAAAACGAGTAAACAAACAAAAGTTATCGAGAGGCCATAATAGTAACCGTGGCATTCTTTATGATCAAACCTATAAACACAATCAAATACGGATTGATCACCGTTATTTGGTTGGGACCAAGTAGATAACATTGTTAAAATTTTACCTTGGCGTGAATTGATTTAAGACATTCTACCGTGGACCTATCGTCTACGGTGCATCCATAGATGAGATTGGTAAGTATTTATTTTATGTTGAGATAAGCAATTTTATTTTTATTTCAAAACAATTCAATAATTAAATATTAATTTCTATGTAAAAGGTGGACAGAATTTTTTTGTAAACCTTAGGTGAATAAAAAACACTCTTTGGCCTTGTTTGTGAAAAGTTTTTCAATTAGCGATAGTGTTTTGGATAACATTTTAAAGGTGCAGACTAACTCTAAAAACACTAACGCTAAAGACTACTGTCATATAGTCTTTTCAAAACGTTAACGCCACCCTCTAACACTAATACAAAACGGAGCTAAAACTGTACCGTTATAAAAACACTCTTGTTTTACATGTTCACGATGTGGTCATTAATCAAATAAAAAAAATAGCTCGCTCTAAGTCTAATTGTTGATTTGTTGTGGTCCATGTGTAATACTAATACAGAGTTGGACCGATTAAAACGGAGTTAATAATGCCACTACACTTTTGACTAAACGAAAGAATTCCTCATCATACATACATTCTTTCTCTTAAAATAAGGGTAAAGCAAACTACTCCTCTTACATTCTAAATTCATTTTAGAATTGGTCTAAAGTTAAAAATAATTATTAGTAATATGTTTGAAAACTAGAGAATACATCACAAGTTTTACAAAGTGATGAATGACACCTACTACATTATTTTTATAAAAAATTTTGCACAATAAAGCATAAGATTTATACAATAAGCTTAAATTTTCAGTTGAATGGTAGTTTGTTTAAAGCCTGACCAAAAGATCAAAAATTTGAATATTTTTAAAACTTAATTTTTATGTTCATGATTCTAGCAAAAACAAATTTTGTCTACACTGAAGACTTTAATGGGAGGGAGTAAGAAAGAATATACTCCCTCCGTCCTATATTGATCTTCCCGCTTTGACTATTGTTCATTTTTTAAAGGATTGAATTTTTGCACTTTGACTTCCAATTATACCCTTCTTTTAAAAAAACCATTGGATCCAAATTGACCCAATTGGGTCCAAATTGAACCTGTCCAGCCCGTCCCTGGCCACTACTGGCGGTCCGCCGCCGTGACTCACCGGAATCCGGCCGAGAATCCAACCCCAACAAAACCTCCAACCAGATCAACATCCAAATCAATAATCCCAACAATCAATTCACACAATATCACAATCAATCACAAGATTAATACAAACAAGATCCTAATCTACGAATTAACGCTAACAATAGATATTTGAGCAACGAATCACCTCGAAATGGAAGAATTAAACTCGGGTTGGAGGAGGAGGAACCGCCGATGCCCATCTCCGACTGACCCGTGCACACCGATGGAAAGAGAGAGGGAGAGATGGTGGTCGCCAACTGTTTCCCTGGGACGGAGGTCGTCGGTGCTGCTGTGAAACCGTCGGACGATGAACGGCTACGCAGGGGAGTCGACGGAAACTGAGTAGGAGAAATGGACGGTGAAGAATGAAGATAAAGGGGTGGGTTGGGTATGGGGTGGGTGAGTAATAAAGGTTTTAACCTTTTAGGGGTATTTTAGTCATTACACGTGTATTTAAAGTGTGTGGGAAGATGATTTTAGGACGGGAAAAAAAGGAAAGTGGGAAGATCAATATAGGACGGAGGGAACACTCTCTTTGTCCTAAAATTAACTTCTCATTTGACTTTTCACAGCCTCCAATGTGATACTTTAACCATCAATATCTCAAATTTTATATAAATATATTTTATAAAAATTATATATTTTAAAACTATGTTTCAAAATGAATCTATTGCTAATAAATTTATATGAAAATTCAATGCATATTTCCTGTAATACTACCTCCGTTTCTCAAAAGAGTTCCTCTTTTGACTTTGGGGGAAAATAAGGAAGTGTTAAATTGTAGTTGACTTTCCAATTTTGCCATTAATGTGATGGGTAAAAGTAAGATGTGATAGTTTAATTGTTAGTGAAAAAGTATGATGTGATAAGTAGGGTATGAAAAAGTAGGGGTAAAAGTTGTTTTTCAATAGAAAGGGGAAGTGTTTTAAGAAAAACGAAAGAGGAAGGGTTTTAAGAAACGGAGGGAGTATATGATTAAAGTTTAAAAAGTTTAATTATAAAAGTCAAACTGGGAAATGAATGTTAGGACGGGGTAAGTAACAAAAAACATAAGATCTATAATCAATTTTTTGCCTTCATCAGCTCATTTCTGCGATTTCAACTTTCAATCATCAGAATATGTACACATACACAAACAGACTACAGAAGAAGAAGAAGAGGAAGAAAAAAACTCGATCTCCATTTCAGGATCGGCTCTCATATGGAGTATATATCATCGCCTATTAGCCTAATCAATCTCAGCCGTTAAAAACAAACACAGAGAAATTGAAGAAGAAGAACAGGTTTAAAGGTGCGATTTCAGACGACATTAGAGAGGGGAATCAATTGAGGTGGTGGCAGGAGGCGTACACGAGGTCGCCGGAGAGAGAATCTAGGAGATCGCAGGAGACGGCGCCGGTGCGGAGAGCATCGAGGACGCGCTCGAAGACGAGGACGTGGCATGGGATCCGGAGAGCGCCTTGCTGCTTGTAACCGTACTCCTGCGCCGACTGGTTGAGGAGGCGGACGAAGACGGGGTGGTTGAGCAGCTCCGCGCTGACGACGAACCTCTCCATCTCCTCCCCGACGTACACCGGCAGGTGCCCCTCCGGCACTCCGATCGAGCCAGATCTGAGCTTAATCGTCCTGAACGACTCGAACCGCCGCGATCGAGACGGCGCCGCCGCGCGCGCCTCGGACCGGAGCAGGCTGTACTGCGAGGAGTCAGCGACGCGGGATAATCGGCGAATCAGCTTCTTCATCGCCGGAAATCTCGAGGATTTGTTGAGATTGTGGGAGAGAGAGAAGATGAAGAAGAAGAAGAGAGGGTGGGAGAAGATGGAGGCGCAGTGTGGGGTTATTTACGATTATATACCCCTCCCTCCCCCCAAAAGAAATACGGAGCGTACTTGGCAGGTACAAATATCGTTTTTCTATTAAAAAATAAATTTGAAATGGTACGGATAACCGAAGGAAGGAAGGAGAGGCGTATTTAAGGACCCAAAACTACCCCTGTACGGAGCCCATAACTGATCATCATCAATACGTGGGTGGGGTTCTTAACTATTCTCTTCCGTATTCCTTTTCTTTTTCTCTTTTTTCTTTTAATTAATAATCCGTATTTGGAACGGAGTATATGCTTTTGTAATATGTACGGAGTATTAGTATTCAAACTTAATAATTACCGAATATTTATTTTATGCAGTAGTGTGCATATGCCGGAGATTTTTCTTTTTTGAAAATGTATCAAAAAAAAACATCCGCTCTTATTTTGTGCTCGTTTGATGAGTTTTGAAGATATGATATGATATAAGTTTTTGAAGTTTATAAATAGAGGTGTTATAACTATTTTCTTTATTCATTTTGTCAATGGTTTAAAAATAAATGACGAAGATATTTTATATAATTTAACTATGTGAATACAAAAGATATCAGGGGCGGATCTACTCCCAAACAATTGGGGGCAAATGCCCCCAACTAAATTTTGGTGTTAAACTAATAATTTTTTTAAAAACAAAAAATTATTATATTTTGGGTTGCATGCCCCCATCTAAAATTGGGATTGACCCCATCTCACATTACTTACTCCCTACAAAAATGAATGGAACCTTATTTAATTAAGCTAACTTTTAATTTTTTGTTTAATCTTATTGAAGTAAAGTGTATTTTATTGCATTTAATTTATTTTTTAAAATAAAATTTTACATTACTGATTAAATAAAATTTTACCTTCAATAAATGTTTAAAATAAAATTTATTATTTTTGTCATTTCAAATTGTCTTTTTTTAATAAAAAAATCAAGGGCGCTGCCCCGATCAATTGTGCCCCCATCTACCAGAATTTCTGGATCCGCCACTGAAAGATATATTGACAAACATGAATTTGGGCACAGACATGCAACACGTTTCCAACATATAAATACTCCCTCCGTCCTCCTAAGATGTTCTCATTTTGACTTTTGGTGGTTTTTAAGAAGAGTTGAAAAAAGGTGAAAGTTTACCATAATACCCTTAATGAAAAATGGGTGGAGTGTATTAAATGAGGTGGGTGAGGTGTAATAAATAAAATAAGTGGGGGTAGTTGTGGTATTTTAATTGTTAAAAAATGAAATGAGAAGATCTATTGTGGACAAAGAAAAATGGCTATTGAGAAGATCTATGAGGGACAGAGGGAGTACAAAAAACGAAAATTATGCAATACCAGTATATTCCATCCATCCCATATTACGAGATGGAGGATGTATTTGTAGAATAGAGAAAACTTTATTTATTTATTTATTTATTTATTTATTTATTTATTTATGAAGATGGAAGTAAATTGGGGATTGAATTGGTCCGTGGCCATGAAATGGGGCGCTAATGGAGGGTCGGTTTTCTTTCTTGCAAGATGCCGTACACGGAAGGGAAGGGTGCACTTCATTTACTATCTACTCCACTTTATTTAAAGCAACTTTGAAAACATTTGTTTGATCCAAAAAGGAAATGGGAAATGATAGAATCCGTTTGGCATCAACGTTAGAGAGTAGCATTAGCGTTTTTGAAAAAATTATATTACATTATGACGTTAGCCTTTAGCGCTAACATTAGCGTTTACAGAATTAATCTGTACCGTTAAAATTTTATTTAAAACGCTAAGGCTAATTGAAAACGTTTTTTCCAGACAAGGTCGACCAAAACATCCCCACATCGCTGAACCCGCATATACCCTAGAGGATGATTGCATGCTTCTGAATTAATTAATGGTAAGTTTAAAAACCTAAATTTGAAAATATAATTTGAATTAAATTACTTGTTCGGAAAACTCAAAGAATTTTGATTTAGATTTGAAACAAATTCTTTAAATCCAAAATTAAATAAACTTAATTAGAAATTTACATCTATTTTTATGTCATTTACAAATTCAAATTCAACCTTTCTGGTTCTTATGCAACGACAGTTCCATACATATCAACCCACTATTGTTACTGTCTTTGTCCACTTTAAAATTCAAATTTTAGAATTGAATTATATGATTTTCCAAAACAAGATTTGAAATGTAAAATTATGATATTTCAATTGTTGGAATTGAAATTCAAGATTTAAAATGAACGCTACTTCCCAAAACTTCACCTTGTTGCTCGTTTTAATTCAAAAAAAAAACACAAAGTACTTTGGTATGCTACTTCCATTGAGTATATTATTTATCTAATTTTGACTTTCTAGACATTCTTTGGTGGACTACAAACGATTCACTCATAAAAATAAAATTGAAAATACATGTCATATCTTTTTTATTTTGTGAATTACATAAAATAAATTAAAAAATGTGCACCTTTACCATATGTATTTTTCTAATTAAATGTTGCGTCGTTTTAATACTCTATATTAGAATATTATTTTTACTTTTAAAACACTTTTATGCCCACTAAGTGTTTGAAAACAAATTAGAAGTAATATAATACCTTACCGAGTTGTTATTACTCTAGAGTAATTTTTTTTCACTTGTGTATGTTATTATCATTTTTATTAGATTACTATACGAAGTAAAAAAAAGTACGAATATAATAAAAATGATGTGGTACGTTTATCATAGACAAAAAATGAAAAAAATCCTTAAAAATATTGGATTTGCCACAGACTATGGGTATAATGGATACACTTTTCCTCCCTTGTTAGACTTATTTAAGAGATTTGATTGGCATTAATGGGCACCTTAATGCATTAATTAATGGGATTATGTAAGCCAAATTTGCTGATTTTGGGTGGACCAGTGAACACCTTGAGCCAGCTCATTTGCAACAAAGCCGTCAAGTATCCAACTCCCTTTGACACTATAAATCAATGAACATTCATAGTTTCATACTCCATTTTTTTGTCTTTATACATTTCTAAATTTCCGCTTTAACTTTTGCATATTAATTATACATAATTGTATAATTAATATTTATGAATATGGATTATAATCGTATAATTAAAATTTATATTACACATATAATCAAATAAGATGAATTAAAAATAATTTAAGTCAGATTTCGTAAACTGAACTGGGAAGATTATTTCAAGGCGTGTAGAGGAATTTAAATCATTTTGAAATTCAAAATGACAAATCAATTTTTCAAGACAAAAAAGGGGTTGCGGATGAGAAATCAATTTAGTGAGGCGTCAAGTATATATGCGCCATTCCAAGTAGACAAGCAACCTTGTGTTTCACGAGATTGGGTCACCCCAGCCGACCCAAACTTTGGTCGGATTTGACATTTGTCATCACCAATTGCCTTTCCCAAACTTGCCCGCCTCGTCCGCTCGTTCGTTCAAAAAAAATCTTGTTTTGATGTTTAAGAAATTTAAGAAAGAAATATTTTTATATTGATTTTTTGAAATTAGTCTTGATTTGATATATAGAAATAAAATGTGATGGGTGGGTTTCTAATGAATAAGGTCCTATTTTGCAGCATCATTAACATTTTGAAAAACCTATCAGACGGTGGCTTTTAGCGTTAACGTTTTCATAATTAACATACGTCATTAAAACTTTATCCAAAATACTAACATTAATTGAAAACGTTATTCTGAAATAAGGCCCAAGTATGATGTGATATCTAGGTTGAAAATTAATAGGTAATGAAAGTTTCAATACAAAGGAGAAATAGTTGTGGGACACTAACAAGGACAAAAGAAAGAGTTTGTGGAATAAAACTAGTACTATTTCTTGACTTTTTTTTGTTTTAGGCAATGTTATGAGAACCTTATTGGACTGGGAAGTACAATTAGCCTGATCGTAAATCAGATTAAAATACGATTTGACTCAATTGTATGGCATTGTCACATTGACCTGCTCCAACTCTGCCATCTGGGCCACAAGTTTGGGCCTAAAACTTTTTTTATCTTTTAGTTGTATCTTTAGAATATAAAATGTGAAAACAAGGACAAACATGTAACCCTTAAACACTCAAATCATATGTACTACTAAATTGAAAGTGCTATATAATATTCATACATTAAGTATTCCCTCATTATATTGGTCTTAAAGCCAAATTGAAATGAACAAAGAAAGTAAGATGGAGATATCGGCTTGTCCCCGAGACCTATAAGGATTAGCTTGGCCATCACAAGGAAATGTCACGCTCAGCCCATTTAAATCCCACCTCGACCTGACCTTTGTAGTGTTGGGCTTGTGCCTTGGGCCCCCAGCTCCACCCGATCAGTCGGATTGCCGTAGAGCTCGGCCTGCCAAGCCCCCTCGAAATCTCATGTCTGGTCGGGGAGTGACCCCCTAGGGAACCAGAGGTGCTTGTGACCAGGGTGGGGGAACGTCATCAGAGGGCGACCCGTCCTTGGGCACGGTCAAAGGGGACTGGCAGGAAAGTGATATATCAAAGAAATAAGACAAATGTAATTAAAGAGAGCCCAAGGGCCTCTTTGACTGAGTGTATGGGGGTACCAGCCCAAAATCGAGTGTATAAATAAGGCCTCAACCCAAAGGGAGAGGGAATCTGAGTTATTCAATTCATATTACAAGCTTGATCTTTCTATAGTTTGTACTACCCCCGTCATTAGAATCCATCACTCCATTTGGATTCTTTGTCCAATTTTAAATTTTTACAGTCAAAATTACTAAGTTTTGACCATTGATCATTTAAAACAAATACTTACATTAAAAATTCATATAAAAATAACTTTATTATATTCAACTAGTAAAATATTTTCAAAACATCATTTTATTGTATTAACATACAATGTTATTTGTATTTAATCGTAGTATATATAGGACTGGCCATGATTGACTGTGAAAAGTCAATATTCAATAAATACTTTGAAACATATGAAATAAATATCTGTATATAATTGTACCCTGCGGTGTATCGTGAGTCTATGATGCTCAGTGCTTCGTATTGTTTCGTCCTTTTTCCTCACTCTGGTTTCATGG